ATAGATTGGAACTTGAGTAAATGGGAATGGAATAATCAATAGAATTTTAGTAAAATTAATGGGAAATAATGATATAATAGATTTGAAAGCCTTTTAAAAAATCCATTGAGGGTAATGTAGGTGATACAGGAAGGCTGTCCACTCGTTCTATTACTGTGTTATGCTGGCGTCCTCGCGGCTGCCCTGAAGATGCTTTTGTTACACATCAGGTTGCAAGCCTTGCTCAGGCCATGGGAGGGATTCCTGAAAGAACTGGAAAATAAAAAAGCAGGAGGATCACAGAATCCCACAACTGTCAGGTCACGTAATCCGTCGCTGTCTCTCAGCAATACCTTCAAATATCAGAGAAAATAGGTCTTCTCTTCATTGAGATCTCCAGGGAAGGAAATTTTGTTTGGCCCCTCAATAAATATTTCTTAAATGTTTCCTTTTCTTGAGATTAGTCTGTCTTCTCTTTGACTTTCCTCTGTATCTTCATGACTGGTGGTTACTATTCACTTTGTACTTAAACCAGCCTGGGTGGCTCAGTTGGTTAAGCATCCTACTCTTGATTTTGGCTCAGGTCGTGATCTCAGGGTTATAGGATTGAGCCCAACGTTGAGCCCCGTGCTCAGTGGGGAGTCTACTTGAGATTCTGTCTCTCTGCCCCTCACCCCCTACTCGTGCTCTCTCGCTCTCTCTCTAATAAATAAATAAAATCTTAAAAAAAAAAAAGTCTCCTTTGCCAGTTTTTGCAACTGAACCTGCTTTTTCCTGGGAAGTAAGGTGGGGAAAGTTTAAGTTTCAAAATTTTTTTCCTGGGGCCTTTTCTTAGGCTCATCACTGGGAAGATTCTGAATTCATAATACACGATATTTGGCCTTCTTGGTTTCTTATCAGCTCCCAAGAGTATATGTGTGGATAACCACAAAGAAATTCTTAATTCTTGGGGTTTTCCACCAGTGCAGCTCCAGCCCACCTCCCGCTGCCCCCGTGCCTGCCCACAGCGGCGGCACTGAAAGCTTACAGCACACGTCTGTTGTGTGGTTAGTACTTGGCTTTTGAGGGACTTTTCCTTCCGAGCAACTCCCACATTCAGTACTAACCACAGTTTCATAATTCTTTCATTGTTGTGTTGTAATACAGCCTTCAGACCAAGGTGGCAATGACATTAATGTATTTTTTTTTTCCCTGCTCCATTTCACAATGGATTTGAGGCATTGGTGGAAACCCTGATGTAGGACTAGGTTAAAAATGGTTGATAATCACTGTCATCTCGTTTTGTGTTTTAGGATTTTTGCTCTTTTTTTTCTTTAATAAACAATACAGTACATGGTACCAAAAAAATATTTTTTATGCGCAAGGGTCCATAGTAAAAGGCTCTTACCCCACCCTCCCCCCTTGCACACCCAGTCTCTGTCCCTGCTGGGAAGCAGTACTAGCTTATATGCTTATATGCTTTTAGCAATAATTTAAACATAAACCCATTTTCTTGTTTTTGTTTTTTTTTTTTTAATTTTATTTACTTTATTTAAATAATCTCAGCACCCAGCCTGGAGCTTGTACGGACAGCTCCGGGATCAAGAGTCATATGCTCCACCCACTGAGCCAGCCAGATGTCCCTGTTCTTTTTATATGAAACTTTGTGTGCTATGAATACTGTTACACTTAGCTTTTATCACATAACAATTTATCTTGAGATACTTCCGAAGTTCGACATAAAGAACTTTCTCATTTTTGTGGCTATCGTTTAGAACTTCCATAATTTATTTAACTATTTCCCTGTTGACAAGCATTAAGCTTTGCCTCAGTATAACAGTCCTAGGGGCGCCTGGGTGGTTCAGTCGGTTAAGTGTCCGACTCTTGATTTTGGCTCAGGTTGTGATCTCAGGGTTGTAGGATCCAGCCCCACATCGAGCTCCGTGCTCAGTGGGGAGTCCGCTTGAGATTCTCTCTCTCTCTTCCTCTGCTTCTCCCCCCGCTCTCGCTCTCTAAAATAAATGAATCTTTAAAAAGAATTTAAAAAAATAAACAGTTCTACAGAGAAGAACCTTGTACTCACATGATTCTGTATTTCCTTCACTCTACAAATACTTACTGAGCACCTACTCTGTGCTAGGCAGTGTTCTAACTTCTGGAAACACAGCAGTGAACATACAGAGCCTACTCGCGGACACCTTGCATTCAAATTGAGGAGCAGCGAACACATGAGGAAACAAGTACATATGTAAATGGGGAGGGATGGTAAATGTTTTGAAGAGAATAATGGAAGGATGTCTATGAACCGAGGAAAGGTAGAGACTGGCCAGACTAGTGGAGGGCAGGTGGGCCCCTGCCTCACCTACCAACATGCACACAAACTCCTGAGATCCACAGGATAGCGGGATGCAGGAGGCTTGTATTTCAGGAATGAGCTTACAGGAGGCTTGTATTTCAGGAATGAGCTTGCCGAGGACTCAGAGCAAAATATTACGGCAGCTATTCGTCTGTGGCAGAGAGTGTGAGTCCTGTTAGTCTTTATTTTTTCCATCTCATACCCAAGGCCAGTGTTTTTCAACTTTTTCTTTATTATTACCTGCAAAATGCCCCCCACCCCATCCCAAGGAGGCTTTTTAAATACATTTTTTTTTTAAAGATTTTATTTATTTGACAGAGAGAGAACAAGTAGGCAGAGAGGCAGGCAGAGGGAGAGGGAGAAGCAGGCTCCCTGCCAAGCAGGGAGCTCAATGCGGGGCTCGATCCCAGGACCCTGGGATCATAACCTGAGCCGAAGGCAGCCGCTTAACTGACTGAGCCACCCAGGCGCCCCAAATACATTTTTTTTTTTAAGATTTTAATTTTAAGTAATCTCTGTACCCAGCGTGGGGCTCGAACTCACAACCTGGAGATCAAGTCACACACTCCACTGACTGAACCAGTCAGGTGCCCCTTAAAGACCTTTTTTTTTTTTTTTTTAAGATTTTATTTATTTATTTGACAGAGATAGCGAGAGAGGGAACACAAGCAGGGGGAGTGGAAGAGGGAGAAGCAGGCTCCCTGCCAAGCAGGGAGCTCAATGCGGGGCTCGATCCCAGGACCCTGGGATCATGACCTGAGCCGAAGGCAGCCGCTTAACTGACTGAGCCACCCAGGCGCCCCAAAGACCTTTTTTTTTAACTGAACACTTCCCCCTTGAGGTTTTAATAGAATAGATGTACTCTGTATATCAAGTTTATATGCTGTGGCCCTTTGGAGAGCCACAGCCATTATAATATCTAAGATGTTTTTCACCCCGCTTCCCAGGAACCAAGGCCCTTGACCTCACAGAATGCAGACTTTGAATCTGTGGGCTCTCTCGCTTTTGGCACCTGCCAGCCAGGCAGTTTCCCTGTGTGGGGTTGGTGAAATTGCATAGACAAAATTGTTTTGGTATTCAGAATCTTTTGTCTTTGAAAGAAGAAAGAGAGAGTTGGTTGGTTGTGATCCAGGCCCTCTGGTGGTGTGTGCCCTGGACAACTAACTTTGTGTGTTAATTGGTGGCCGAGGAGGGCAGAGCTAGGATGGCAAGCTTCCGGAAGCCCCAGATGAGAGCAGTAGACAGGAGTTGGCAGAAGGTGTCCCTTCCGCTCCACTTGGCCTTGTTCTTATTTCTTTTTTTTTAAAAGATTTTATTTGTTTGACAGAGAGAGACACAGCGAGAGAGGGAACACAAGCAGGGGGAGTGGGAGAGGGAGAAGAAGGCTTCCCGCCGAGCAGGGAGCCCGATGCGGGAGCTCGATCCCAGGACCCCGGATCATGACCTGAGCCAAAGGCAGACGCTTAACGACTGAGCCACCCAGGCGCCCCTGTTCTTATTTCTTATTTAACATCCCCCTGGACTTTAAAAATAAACACGTATTCAGCACTTCCTAGGTGTCCAGAAACCCGCTAGCACTTCAGATGTATTAACTCCTTCGCAGCGCCGTCTACAGTGGGTGATCGTATCCTCAAGTTAGAGATGTGGCTCAGAGGGTCCTCCTCAAAGCCTCAGGTGTCAGCTCGGGCCCTCCCCACTTTCTCCTTCCACCTCTGACGGCGCTTGGGGTGTCACGGGGTGGTAGTGTCCGTTGCATGCCGTGGTCTCCTCTCTCAAGGCAGGAAGTGTTTTACTCACCTTCGCCTAGCCAGCCGCTTGTGTGGTGAGTGTCATAGAACAGGTGCTTGGCAAATGACCGATGGACTGGTGGGTGGCTGGCTGGAGTGACAAATGACTACACTCTTACACAGGAGTCAAATTATTTCCTGAATGGGGGAGCCCACCGACCTCTCCAGCTGTAACCTGGTTCTGCAGGTCCCTGCCGTCTCAGTTCCACACAACTAACCCTGATTTTCCCCAAAGTGCTAGGAGTCTCCTTGACTCTTTATGACCATCTTTTGTACCATCTTAAAATCAAGGAGACGCAGGCCACTGCCTTGGAACAGTGAAAACCCTGCACCCTTGCTCTAGATTGTGCTTCCTGAATATCTTGTCTTCTTAATGGATCTGGGCACAGAGAGGATACAGTGAGTAGGACAGTCGAGGCCCCTGCCCTCATTGAGAGTATGTTCTGGTGGGGGACAGAGAGTATACATATAAACAAACCAGGTAATTTCAGATAGTGAGAGGCCATAGAAGCATATGGAAAGGAGTGGTACAAGCCAGTTGGGTAGCTCCCTCCTTCCTCTGAGAGAAGCAGTTGAAAAAAAGTCCAGTTAAGGTCGACCATGTCAGTAGGAGAGCGGTGACAGGTCTACAGATGATTTGAGGAATTGTTCACCTAGGAGCACGCACTGCCACGTGGTCATTCAGTGCATGGGTCCCCAGCTCTCTGCCTGCGTGCTGGAGGGGATGCTCGTCTTGCCACCCAACCTCGGCGTGGCCCTCAGGGTCCGTGAGCTGGTGCACGAAAGCCCTTACACAGAGCCTGGTGTGTGCAAGATGCTCAGTCAACAGTAGCTGATTTTATTATTCTATATGCACTTCTCTTAACTGTCTCCCCTCTTTGCTTTGCTTTCCAGCTCCAGGGTCTGAGCCACAATGTGATCTTCACCTTGGACTCCTTGTTAAAAGGAGACCTGAAAGGAGTCAAAGGAGTAAGTGTTCAGAAATTTGATTTTCACTTTAACTGGAAAGGATTGATTTCTTTTTTTAAGATCATAGTGGTACTTGTATCACTTTTTTTAGCATAAAAAAAGTACTTGGAAAATGATCATTGGAAAAGATGTGCCACTTCACATCGTGTTATTGACTGAAGAGTAAGATGAGACACTTTCCTGAGTATCGGTGAGGGTCTCCATGGGTGCAGGCAGTCTGCGCTGAGTCTTGGCCACATCAGTGGTGACCCCCGGGCCCAGCCTCTCCTGGGCACCAGGTCCTGCTTCACGGGTGTCCCCGGGAAGCTCGCCCTTCGGGTCTGCGCAGGCTTCTCGTGGGTGATGCGTGCTCTGCGGTGCATCAGAGTGTCTGTGTCAGGCTTCACGCGTCCTGTAAAGGAAAGCACTTCTGCTGAGATGTTCTTTCAGAATTATTTATTTGCCTTTAAGCAAAAATAAATTCAATCTCAGTTTCATTTTCTCTTTCCTAAGGATCTCAAGAAGCCATTTGACAAAGCTTGGAAAGATTATGAGACAAAGTTGTAAGTAGCTTTTTGTTTTTTATAGTCTTGAATTTCTTTAGAAACCGTTAACTGGAAGACTCCTCTCTTCTGGACACCAGCTTGTGTGGTACATCCTTGTAAGGGCTCAGGGTTTGGCTGTGCTGACTGAGAAGGGGCGACTCATCTCCTGCCTCGGCGTCTGGAGTGAGGTGTGCGGTCACCGCCGAGTGTTCCAGCGCTCATGGCTCCTGCTACTAGCTACCAGGCTGTAGATCTGACTGTTGCAACCTTTCTTTAATTATAGTTAGCCTATAACTGTAGACTATTGGCATTCCCACCTATAATTAGGAAATAATGGCAGGGCCTGCACGCAGTGTTCCTGTGTGTGTAACCCCCTCATGGTGGCCTCACTGTCTGTGTCTGGTTAAGGGGACTGAAGCCCAGAGAGGCTGAGGAGATTGCAGAAGGTCAGAAAGCTAGGTAGGCGTTGGCAGGTCGGCCTGCTGGGGTTATTGCGGGAATTATGGAGATGATGCACGTGAGATGTGTGGTACAGATCTGGCTTGTCTTCATCTGTATGGATCATACCACCTTCCTTTGTTTTTTTGGTTTTTTTTTTTTTTTTAAGATTTTAATTATTTGAGAGAGAGAGAGCACGAGCAGGAGGGGCAGAGGGAGAGGGAGAGGGAGAAGCAGACTCCCCACTGAGCAGGGAGCCCTCTACAGGGCTCTATCCCAGGACCCTGAGATCATGACCTAAGCCCAAGGCAGCTGCCTAACTGAGCCACGCAGGCGCCCCTCCCTTCCTTCGTTATTACTACTTGGAGACATCTGTACTACGGGAGGTGGAGTGGGAGGAGAAATAGATTTTAAAGCACTTAATAAATATCTTGGTTGTGAACTTGGATAGCGATAAACATAAGAGATTTATAAAAGCCATTTCCGTAGACAGCAATAAGAGCAGAATGAAAACACAAACAAAAAAACAAATTCAGGATTAAATTTGTTTTTTTGCCAAACTACTTCTGTAAATGTTTATGTGAGCAGTGCATTGCTGGAGACTTGCTGCCTTAGGAATACTTTTATGCATTGACAGTTATAAATGCAGCTGAGAACAAAGAAGTTTCTTAAAATGGTCAGTGATGTAAATGAATATTGTGGGCCATCCTGTCATCCTGTCTTTCTGTATGAATGCTCGTACTTGTGAGCTAAGTCCAGCCCTGCCCAGAGGCAGCTGCATGCACTGGGCTGGAGATAGAACTAAGTACATACCAAAGGGGCAGGAGTCCACAAAAGGGAGAATAAAACCTTTGCTCTAGGCTTGTGGAGTAGATCTCTTTTGTAGGACATGGAAATAACAAAACAAGACACAATATGTGCTCTGTCAACTAATATACCACCAATATTGGGTGGTATAGCCGTATTTTTTAAATCTTTGTGTTAGTGGAAGAGCTTGAAGTACCTGCTGGTCAGTATTATGAATATCATGGAACATAAACCGTTCTCAGATGATCCAGGTGCCCTTCATGGTACTTTCCTCAGCTGTATTCGAATGTGTCTGGATGTTCACTAGTCTGTATTGTCCTCCAGCATCTGACCTCAGTGAGCACAGTGACCACATCGTCCTTGTGTTTGGTGCTAATCTCCCAGGGCCTCACAGAGCCTTGGGTATATAGCTAGTGCATAGGGAATAGTTACTGAAAGAATGAGAGAATTATCCACATCTGGAAATGTATACCAGAAATCGTGAGTTCAGTGGGTCCTGATTTTAGGATTTCACTGGAAAGGTTTGTATTTTTCTTTTTTAATAAATCCCTGGCAACAGATTATTTTCCAGGGGCACCTGGGTGGCTCAGTCTGTTAAGCGTCTGCCTTCGGCTCAGGTCATGATCCCAGGGTTCTGGGATGGAGCCCCGCATCGGGCTCCCTGCTCGGCAGGAAGCCTGCTTCTCCCTCTCCCACTCCCCCCTGCTTGTGTTCCCTCTCTCGCTGTGTCTCTCTCTGTCAAATAAATAAATAAAAAATCTTTAAAAAAAAATTATTTTCCTAAGATAGGTTTCTTCCTCACTCTGTATAATGGTATAGGAAGTAAAAAAGAAAACAAGTATTTGATTATTTGATGTGACAGGACTCATTTGATTATGAATTACAGAAAACAAAACAATATACCCCCCCCCCAAAAAAAGAAGAAGAAGTTAATTTATTTGCTGTGAGAACCGAGGGGGCTGGTCTGGGGTCTTTCTTTAGACCCCAGGAGGCAGTGAGCCATCATTGTTAAGACCACAGACTGGGGAATCAGAGACCGTGGGAGGATCTGGGTGGTGCCACTTACCAGTTTTAGGACTTTGAGCCAAGGTACTTAATTTTGATGGTCCTCACCTATAAAAGAGTAGAAAAATTACCTGCTTCTCAAGGCTTCTGTGAGGGCAAGATAACGTAATATGTTAAAGTAGTTGCCACTGCTGTCTGGCATACAGTTGGCCCTCAATCATAGTTTCCAGCAAGTTTTTTAATGATAAAATAATATTTGGTCAAAACGATACCCATACATCAAACATTAAATAGTCCTTGCATCGGTTGAGCCTTATTCTGACTGCGTAGAATAGAAGCCCCGATAACAGTGGCTTCGACAAGAGTTTATCAAGAGAACGTACAGCTTCCAGGGCAAACCGGGCACCCAGCACACCCATCAACCTTACACGCTGTACAGTCGTCTGTGCTGCTGCTGAGGAACGGGAGAGGGAGTCTTAAGGAGGCAGTGGGCGTGCTTCTCGTGGAAGGCCACAGTGGTCCCCGGCCCAGCCCTCCTGTCCCACTGCTTCCTGTCCTGTTCCCCCTGCTACTGCTCCCCGGCTTGTCTGTCTCTGTTCCGCCGTGTTCTCTTGCTGCTCCTTCCTGCTTCACCGGATGTGCTCCTGCAGCAGATGAGGGCTCAGCTCTCATGCACAACCACCCCCATCACGTCCCCACCCCCACCCTGTTCATCCAGTGTGGTTCATGCAACAATTTTTGGATAAACCAGTTGACAGCGTTTGAAATTCTGTGAGTGCAGATGTTCGGGGGCCGCTGAATGGTTTGTTATAATGGATTTCCGTTCTTACGGCACCATTTTTTGCTTTTCCTTAATGAAATAATTGCCTCATTTCTTCATTTGTTGGTTCTATTTGAAAATTTTGTGAACTTTTGTTATCTGTTCCAACCGATGTGCAACACCTATTAATAACGTTTCTGTTTAGAAAATACACTCTACGCGTTGTAACAATGACTATATATGGATTATCATTAGGTTCTCTGGCAGTCCCTTCTTTTCTTCCTGGAGGATTCTTGCAGAGCTCTTTAGATCTGCAGCTGTCGTCCTGGGCTGCCCCTCCGTGGGGGCTCTCCTGCCTCCTCTTCCCTGGCATAGTCCCATATTTGACTGGCACGCTACCTCCAGTCGTTTGCAGGGAACAGCTCTAAAGGAGGGAGATTTTTCAGATTTTGGCATGTCCAGAAATATCTTCATTCTGCCATCACACAGAATGAGAGTTTGGCTGAATGTAAAATACTAATTTTATAACCATATTCACTTGAACTATTGACGGCATTTCTCCACTGTTTTCTTATTTCCATTGTTTGCTAATGAAAAAAATTCAATGCGTCTTTGATTCCCATATCTCTGTGTGGGACATGTGGGGCTTGGGGAAGGAAGTTCATTTATTTTCAGTTAGAAAATGTTAGTCTTTTGGGGCACCTGGGTGGCTCAGTCATTTAAGCATCCGACTCTTGATTTTGGCTCAGGTCGTGATCTCAGGGTCGTGGGATCAAGCCCATGTCAGGCTCCATGGTCAGCAGGGTGTCTGTCTCCCTCTCCCTCTGCCCCTTCCCCTGCTCGCTCCCTCTCTCTTTCTCTCTCAAATAAATAAATCTTTAAACAGAAAAGAAGATGTTAGTCTTTTTTTTTTTTTTTCAAAGGTTCTACGAAGTTTCTTCATGTGCCATGGTGCGTGCATTGACCTTCTCTTTGCAATTTTTAGTTCTTCGGTTCTGGAAATGTTTCTTGTCATTCCTCCCGTCTGTTTGTTTGTTTGTTTTCCTAAAATGCCTCACTAGGTTGTTCTTACAATTTTCCTCTCTTTTTTGTCCTATTTGTCTGTTATGTTTTAGGTTATTTTCAACCTTTTATTCCCACTATTTCAGTTGACTTTTTTATTTGGCTGTCATATTTTCAATTTCCAAAGCCCTTTTTCTCAATTAGTTGGGAGGTTTAGGTGGTCTTTTTATAGTTTCTTGTTGTTCCATAGATTTATTATATTATTATATATAATATATATAATATATTATATTATAAATACAGTTTATTCCACAGTATTTTAGCTCTCTGAGGATTTGATTATATTTTATAAAATATTTTTTTTCTTACTGCCTTTGGTTACCTCACCACCACCCCCAACTTGTTATTTTGATCTCTTGCTTTCATTTTGGAGGCTTTCATAAATTATCTTATCATCCTTCACTGCCCATTCATATTTGAGAGCAAAGCACCCAAAAGTTGTTGAAAAGCTCATACATGTCAGCAGGGCCTGTCAAGAATGCAGTGAGCTGCCTTTTTAGGTTTTAGGATGTCGAGACAGCTTTTCTTCTCCTTCTTCCTTTTTTTTTTTGAGAGAGAAAGAGTATAGGGAGGGGCAGAGGGAGAGAGAATCCCAAGCAGACTCCCTGCCTCCCTGCTGAGTTCAGAGCCTGACCCGGGGCTCGATCCCAGGACCCTGTGATCACAACCTGAGCCAAAATCAAGAGTCAGATGCCCCACCAACTGAAATGCCCAGGTGCCCCAAGACAGCTTTTTTATCAGGAGCATTCTAAATGTCAGTATCCAGAGGTGTGTCTTCCGGCACCATTCAGCCCCCTGAGCCCCCGTCTGGTGATCGTATGTAATGGCATCTGGACGCAACAAAGGCCAGGGAGGCAGGGAGCCCTATTGTTTGGGGTACGCGCTTTCTCTTTTTCTCTGTGTAGACCTGCTGGTCCAAATATTTGCTGAATTCTCTCATCCGTTTTTGTCTTCAGTTCTTGTCTTTGGGAGATTATATTGTTTATGATTTTTGTATCATATTAGTGGGATTATGGAAGGAAGAAGAAATGAAGACATGTGGTCAAGTCACCACATTAACCCAGGAGTCTACTGCTGTGAAGTTATGCCTGCTCCTCACATTTCTTCTCAGATGTCTTCAGCTTTCTGCTTCTCTCCCACCCACACCAGTGGAGAGAGCTGAGGCTTACTCTCTGTTTTCACACCTACTTGATGGCCAACGTGGCTTGATAAGATATGGCATTATGGTGTTAGAGGAATCCCAACCACATTTATAGTAGATTTCCCAATGGGTTGATTTTCTACTGTGTTTGTATATAGATAAGGATATTGGCTTTCTTTGGGGTTTGATTCCCCACCACTACAATTTAAAAGAAGACTTGAAGGCTAAGTCAGTTCATCTTTGCATTCACAACGAAAACACTCTTTTTGAAATTGGAAGTCTGTTTTCAAGTTAGATGGACTTTCGGAAAGAGGGTGGTAACCATTGGTGTTCCTGCCAGAGTACCATCTATCATAGCCAAGCATTAGCCTCAGGTTGCATTGGTTTAATATGGGCCCTCCTTTATAATTGCCTGCTTCCTTCTTGGCCCCCTCCTCACTGAAGAACATTTCATAGGATTCCAGATTATAGATTGGGACTTCTCCCATCCTTATTTTGTACAATCCAATACCAGATGGTTGAATGATTAAAATGTGTTAGGGGGATATGGAAATCACCCAGGTTTAGAGGAATATTGGAAATTACCTTTGACTACTTTTTGTGCATGTCCATTGTGCACTTTGATTGTCTTGAAATAATTCTCAGACTCATCAGCTGTTGGTAATCAAGATATGCCTCCAGTCTCCAACTTTCTGATTCTTTTTCATCCTAAAGTACTTGACCCAAGAAAAAGTCAACTGTCAAGATTTCTTCATGCCAAACAGAATGTGAGAGAATTTGTAAGAATTTATCCATGTGGGGGCACCTGGGTGGCACAGTTGGTTAGGTTAAGTGTCTTACTCTTGGTTTCACCTCAGGTTGTGATCTCAAGGTCATGAGATCGAGCTTTGTGTCAGGCTCCGCGCTCAGCGCAGAGATTACTTAGGACTCTCTCTCCCCTCTTCATGCACTCACTCTCTCTTTCTCTCTCTCTCCTCTCTAAAATAAATAAATAAATCTTTAAAGAATTCATCCATGTGTAAGATCAGAGTTAAAATGTGAGAGATTTCCTAGGTGAAAATCTGTACAGTGTGTTCTCTTTGATTCTTACTTTGGTCAATATTACCAACTTATGTAAGAGTTCCTGCCTCTTACTACTCTCGTAATTAAGAAACAATCAGTGGCTCTCATTAAAGGAAAGACGTGAGTTTTTTTTTTTTAATGATGGCATCTGCTTTAATTACAGTACAAAAATTGAGAAGGAGAAAAGAGAGCATGCAAAGCAGCACGGGATGATCCGCACAGAGATCACAGGAGCTGAGATCGCAGAGGAGATGGAGAAGGAACGGCGCCTCTTTCAGCTGCAAATGTGCGAAGTAAGAACAGCTTTTACAAGCATTTGCCCAGAGTTTCCTTAACTGTGATCTTTCCTGCTAGTCAGGAGTTTTTATGCTTAAATGCAGGCTGTTTGATTATTAGAGGAGGGGACTGTTGCTTAAGGGTTCTCATCTCCATTTTTCTCCAAGCCTTTTGGGATCCGCCATTTCACTGTTGTCTCATATTTTGAGCCTTGGTCCTGTGGGGCTCTTTATGCCAAAACAGGATTCTTTGGTGAGAACTTTAATGTTGCTTGTGAGTGAGTTTGAAAAAAAATGTTTGGTAAGGAAGTAACACTGGTGAATATGAAGTCTTCCTGGTACAGGTTTAGAGCATGTTTTTTGTTTTTTTAACCACGTGTCCAATTTGAATGAAAGCTTAAATAAAGTAGTCATTAAGAAAGCCTGAGTTCATGAAAGAAATGTAGTGAAAGCATGCTCCCTTGGACTTAAAGCAGTGGTTCTCAAACTGGGTTCCCAGTGAACACTGGCACTCCCTGACCTGGCGTTCTGCTCATTCTGATGCTAATTGTGTCATAGAGTTCCTTTTACAGTTCTCCAAAAATATTAAAGTGGATAGAATTTTCTTAATTTTAAATTTTTTCTTTTTTTTTTTTTTTTTAA